CACAGATAGGATAGCTACATATGTATTAGGATATTTAATATTAAGGTAATTAAATGGTGGCGAAGGTGTGGCTATTGGGGGAGGCTGGAGGCCACGTTTAAAAGTAAAATTAAAAAAAAGAAAGTAGTAGTAGTAGTAGTAATTTTATTATTATTATTATTATTATTATTATTATTATTATTATTATTATTATTATTATTATTATTATTATTATCAGCTCCCCTCATCTCTTTCTCACTACTTCCCTTTCATTATTTTTCCCTTTCGTGGCCTGGGTGAGATAGTGTGTTGAGGAGTTTGCTCGTGTTTTCCACTAAGTTTTGAGGAAGTTGGCTTAAGTCTGTCCGCTCACCACACCTAAGCTACATCTCAATTTCCGTCGTCAAGTTATTGCAGCGAAATGAAAGCAATCGACAGGCAGTGTGAATGATGGAATGGGAGGTGGTAAGGAGAAGGATGATGGAAGGGGTAGTAGGTAATGGGGGAGAAGGATGATGGGAGGGGTAGTAGGTAGTGGGGGAGAAGGATGATGGAAGGGGGTAGTAGGTAGTGGGGGGGAGAAGGATGATGGAGGGTAGTAGGGGGGAGAAGGATGATGGGAGGGGTAGTAGGTAGTGGGGGAGAAGGATGATGAGGGGTAGTAGGTAGGGGGGAGAAGGATGATGGGAGGGGTAGTAGGTAATGGGGGAGAAGGATGATGGGAGGGGTAGTAGGTAGTGGGGGAGAAGGATGATGGAAGGGGGTAGATGGTGTGGAGCAGGACGATGGAAAGGGAGGGAGGGGGTGGAGGTAAGATCGGGTACAAGTTGTTTGTCGGAGAGAGAGGTTGAGTGAGTTAAATGGAGAGTCAGGGGGAGGAGGATGAGAGAGGTAGGGAGGATCAGGGGGAAGGAGGGAAGGGGGAGAAAGGTCAGGGGAGGGGGTTAAGGAAATCAGTTAAAGTATAGTGATCTAAATATTGCGTAATTATCTATTTATCTATCTATCTATCTATCTATCTATCTCTCTATCTATCTATCTATCTCTGTTTGTGTATTTGTAATCTTCGTATACCTTTGCTGGCTCCCTTCTTTATTTCCTATACTCTACACATTCATTCGCTGGTGTTCCCCTGCCTCCAATATCATTCCTTTCTCTATTAATCCCCACGTTCGCTCCCTTTTTGACTTTCCTTCACTACTCTCTGTTACTGTTGCCTTACTCTCCCTCCTCTTCCTCTTTTCCTCTCCCCTCCGCTGGGTCAAGAGAGGCAGTAAGTTGGTGGCGTTTGATCGAAGTTATTGCCTACATCTCTATTTACGCTTCTCTCACCTTGTTCTCGTTTTTCTTGTTCTTCTTCTTCTACGTTTATCTATTTTTATTATTTATTCCCTCATGTACTAATATCTCTCTCTCTCCCATCACTCATGTTGTCTTCACTGCCAGGTGCGTCAGAGAGCGTCCAGCTGTTGGTATTTGATCCCAGCTGGTGTGTGCGTCGGGCGCCACCTGTTGCTCCTGTTTTGGCCACGACCTTCCCTCTCTCTCTCTCTCTCTTCCACTATTTATTTTCTTTTCAGGCACCACCTCCCCCTGCCCCTCTCCCCCATCTTTTTCCCCTTCCCTCTCCCATCTTCCTTCCCTCTCCTCTCATCCCTCTCCCATCTTCTCCTCCCCCTTTCTTTTCTTCTCCCTTCTTTCTCTTTCCTCTCCTTTCTCGTCTTTTCCTTCCCTACCCCTTCCTCCTCCCTTACCCTCTCCCAACCCCCTTAACACCCCTCCCTACCTCCTTAATCCCCTCCTCTTTTATTTATTTTGTTCCTTAACTTCCTTATAATGTGTGTGTGTGTGTGTGTGTGTGTGCGTGTGTGTGTGTGTGTGTGTGCGTATCGTCATCTTAACACGTGTATAAGGGCAACAACATGTACAGTATGTGGTGTTTATCTTTACTTCATCTATAGTGTGATAGGTTTAAGTAACACAGCGGAACAATGGAACATCTCTTAGGCAGTAGTGTTGATTCTCTTTTGTTATTTGTTAAACCAGTGACCTTAAGAGTCTCGCCTTTATGGATGTTTGAAAAAATTTTGTTTCCTTAAAAAGCTTCTATACACGATATGATGCATAACAGGGAAGGAAGACGCACCGAATATTACACATTTACATAAAGAGCAAAAGAGAATTTCAATATTGACAAGAGGATACAGTTATCTAATCCTCGTTGTTCCTAGATGGTTGATATTGTTCCGAGGACGAGCATGACTATAGCTTAAATAATAACACTGTAGAATATACCAAATATATCAGACACTACTAGGAAAAAAATCCCTCAAGGTAATATTTGGCATTGAGTTAAAATAATTGTTTTATTATGGTTAAAAATTGAGTCACCTGACGAAATTAACTCTATAATAAGAATAAAGTTATGCCAGAAAAAAAAGAGAGACCTTTCCCTAGTTATTTTTGTTTTGTTTTACCTGGTGTAGATCAGAAGAGGAAGGAAGGTAGGAAGGAAGGAAGGAAGGAAGGAAGGAAGGAAGGGCCAGGAGCCGCCCATATTGATCTTGTCGCGGGTGTTCACTTCTCCTCTTCCTCCTTCTCCACTCGGCTGGCTGTGCCTTTGTCCCATCCGTTCATCTCCCCTCACCCCACTCACCCACCCTGTCCAACCACCCAACCACCCACTGTTTACGTCGTTATTTTACTTGACCACACATGATTGGCTGTGGGGGAAGTCGCCTGAACCCACCCACCCACCCACCCACCTGGCTTTGGTTGCTCTACTCCAGTCCAGGGAAGAGCTCGCGTGATAGCTCGTGTGTACCAGGAGTAGAGTTAGATTTTTTTTCCTGGTAATTTTGTTTACTTCAGCTGTGGTAATAGTAATTGTTATTTTCGAGATAATTGATGGTTATAATGTTAATAATATCCTCTTGTTGATAATGAACTCTGTTGAGGATTATTATTATTATTATTATTTATTTATTTTATTTAGGCTTTCCCTTTGAGGATATTTTTATTATTATTTATATTTTATTTCATTCATGTCTCTTTCCGTTTCACCGACTAGATCGATATTTTTGTTATTTTGTTTTATTACTTTTATTAATTTGAAACTCTGTGGATCAACTACGTCATGTTGTGATTATAATTTATGTATTTCTCTTATTCTTTAAAAAAAATTCAGTGTTTTTTTTTACCAGTAGACTTCCTTATGGGATTTTTTTTTTTTACTTTTATCAATAATTTCAGTACTTTTTCCAACGGGATTTACTTGTTCTTTGTATTTTTTTATTGTTATTTTTTTCCTTTTTTTATCAATATTTTCCTTCATAAGTCATTACTATAGATATTCTTATTCTTAAGCATCGCAATATTTTCTTCAATTGGTCTTTTTTAATGACTGTTTTTACCATTAAACATCGCATGACGCAACTTTTCTTTTGGGGCGACTTTTACTCAACAATGTGTGTGACTGGAACTTTTTTTTATCATATATTTTAGAATTATTTTTATGTGACTTTTTTGTTAATAAGTTCATTTCAATATAGAGTAATATTGTCTTTTAGCGTCTCATAATTTCCTCTGTTTTGGGATTCTCGCTTGACCTCCTTAGAATGATGCTCGTTTGACTACCATACAGTAGACCTTCTCCCATTTTCTAGTTTGACTTATATAATTAACTTGCAATTGTTAATAATTATACGAATAATAATAATAGTTAATAACAATGGTAACAACTACAATAAAAAATAATATAATATTCAAGTATGGAATTTTTTAATAATAATAATAATAATGATAATAATAATAATAACAATAATAATACTAAAACACCTCTGCCAATCTGCCCCGGCTAATGGACGTGTGGTTAAGAATTCTTTTTGTACACAGTAAATATTTTCTTCCCAGCAACTCTCGTCACTCTTCCTCAAGGCGTTACCACACGGGCCAGTATACCAACACAATCGATTTATCAATACCATGTACAAGCAAATCAAATATTACTGATTGTCATAACCTTCGTCCTATCGAGTCACTTTTTATTTTTTATTATTATTTTTTGTTTTTTTTTGCCTCTTGGGTCCTGACAAAGCTGAGAAGACATCAATAAAACTGTATAATTTCATCATTTATTTATATTATTCATTTCTATTTTCAATCCATTTCGGAAATAACTATAATATGTCCAAGTATGGATATAATTTCCTGATAGATAATGTATAATCGATGATAATAATCTTAGGATGCAAATTATATATTAGATTTATTATGTTGGTTATGTATGTAATTTTGTTTATTGTATATTTTCTTACGTCATTTTTTTTCTATCGTATCTGATGTTATCTTTGGTTGATTTTCTGTTTCCAGGGTGAATTTGGGTTAGATATTTCCTTAGAGAGAGAGAGAGAGAAATACTCAAGTCCGAACAAGAGAACACCAAAAAAACTCCCTTACCGTCTCTAGGGGCCAAAGTCCTCCCTCCACTTTCCTCTCATCATATCACAAAACTGTCCACAAACTCGCCTTACATACACAAGAGTCGTATCAAAACATCAGCGTAACATCCACTAAACACAGACGCATAACATTAACATCAAGCAAGTTTTCGGTACATCCCTTTAAATGTCAACATCCCTTATAACATCGCAATAACAACTCTTATATTAGTGTAATATTCACAACCCTTAACAATAACAAGGATTATATTACCGCCCCCCCCCTTTAAATCACTATTACATTACTACTCCCTTCAAAGTAGTATTATATTATCATCCCTCCCATTTTGCTATTACATTTTCCACCCTTTCAAATTTGTATTATCTCTTCCATCCCCTTAAAGATAATATTACATCTCCACTCCCTTAGCATCACATCACTACCTCCATTAAGGCAGCGTAACAAAACCACCCCCTCACATAGCATCACATCACTACCCCCATTAAGGCAGCGTAACAAAACCACCCCCTCACATAGCATCACATCACTACCCCCCATCCAGGTGTGCACTCAGTACTTACATCAACGTCAACGCCGGTGACCTGGTAGTCCTGCTTCATGGGCCTCTCGTTGGGCACGTAGCGGAAGAACTCCCTGCCGCCTTTGTACCATTTGACGGAGTAGAGTCTCTCGCCCTGCAGGTCGAATTCACACCTGAGCGTGGTGCTCTCCCCCCGGGGCACGTGGAGTGGTACCTCGAAATTCTTCATACGAAGGGCCCACCCGCCTGGAGGAGGAGACAGAGAGAGAAAGGAAGAGTTAGACAAATATGTGGCTAAAACATGGAAACAAAAACATGGTCAATGCCTACTTAACGTACAGTACATCCGGTTAATTTACAAGTTTTTTAGGGCCATATCAGGGAACGTCATGTACTCTAAGCGGACATTGTTTACAAAATAATCTACAGCTTGTATCATAATATAAGATACAGTTACAACATAAACCACCAAAAGAACACCAGGTATGTCCTCTCCAACATTCAAGAATGATATATGGATGAAAATCTACGCCAGACGAACCTTCGCCTGGCTTTTTCCTGCATAGAGAGTTATTTTATGGTATGAGAGTAGGACAAAACATGTGTGATATGGGAAGACACTGAGGCAGGAGGGTAACCAAGTGGTGGCCATAAACAGCATCACCTGAGGCGGGTCGGAAGGTTAGTCGTTCACGCTGGTAGAAAAAGATAATATTTTAACAACTTACTGAAGATAAAGTGACGTTTTCTCTCCACTGTTGTATAGCAAAGATGAAAATATTAATCAGCATTCAGAAAAAATAATAATATAGAATAAATTAATAAGTTCCTGGAATTTATCGACACAGACGAAATATTTGATAAGAGAGTAAAGTAAGATATAACATTTTCCCCGTCTACAACTGGATATTTAATTAAATGTTCTGAGAATGACTGATTTAAACAAGTATTAATAGATAGTTGTTAACGAGTTATATGACTGTAACATTTTCTAGTAACGTTATTAAAGGGCACTGTCAGTTCAGATAATATCCCATCCTAGAATATACACAGAAAAAACATATTTACGAAGTGTTGTGAAAAATAAGAGTAAAAGAGAAGACTTTTAGCTTACAAAATTGTTAATGCCTACACACACACACACACACACACACACACACACACACACACACACACACACACACACACACACACACACACACACACAGTTGTATACTTTCACGTTAACACAAACTGGGACCAGTATAGACAGCTGAATAAATAAATAAAACCATGAAGAAAGATGTTACAACTTGCCCAGACAGAGAATATAAAAGTTGTGCATCACCTTAACAAATATAACCTAAATAGGAACCATCACACTACTGATAAACCCTGATGGAGTAGAAGTTGTTCTGTGATTACCCCCGCCTGGACCTGAGGGATATAGGGTATAGTTAGCATTCCTGTTTGTCTGTCCTGTCATTCTCTCCCCAAAATAAATACAAAAACGGGATTGTGGATTTGCACCAAGTTTTGTAGGTTTGATCGCTTGTAACAAGATCCTTATGATAAATATTTGGTGTACATCACGCTAATATTGACCCAAACTTGCTATTATAAACGGTTCGCTCAATAACACAGAAGTTTTCGATGGTTATAGAAAACTGTATCATGAAACAGTCTCTAGCGGTGACTATATTAATTTACAGTAACAGAGTCGCTACTTCGGTATTTATCCTGCCACGGTACCGGTTCGAGGGTAGGGTTTGCTTAAGTTCGGTTTATGTTTGGTATTAAACTGTCTAGTAATACCCCAGGTCAGTACACTTGTATCATGCGACTGGATTGTACTCTCAGTTCCCAACACTACTGGAGCTCGCCAGGTGCTGCAGAGTTATTGTGTCTGAAGTATGTTATCCCTGTAAGCTTTGCTGGTATACAATACACACACACACACACACACACACACACACACACACACACACACACACACACACACACACACACACACACACACCTTGTAGAAATATTACCAAACACGTTGAATATATCACAACAAGAGACACTGTTAAACATCGTCTACTAAAATGTGATGATAGTTGTGTTCTTGTTTACAGTACAGTCCTGCCATCATTTTTATTTGGATTTCTGGGTTCAAGGAAAAGGTTTTTGGTTCATTAATCGATCCTCAATCAAAGTAAATGTGATCATTAAGTTTGTGACACCACTTGCAATAGGGTTTCAAATGTCGTGTTTTGTACTTTCACGTCAAAATTAAAATGTTGACAGAAAAAGTAATAAAATCATACAAAAAAACTTTTATTATAAATGGCTGTTTGTAAGTTAAACATACTGATTCTCACTAGAACTAATGTTACGTCAAATTCACATTAATTTGTAACTTATTATTTACAACTTACTGTACATGTAACTGTAACTTTATGAAAATGGCCCACAGTGGGAGCAAGAAGGAGGAGGGGTGTTTCCTGGTGTAGGTGGTGGCAGAGCGGGTACAGTACTAGCCTTCTGTACAAAAAGTCACTGGGTAGAGCCCGCTACACCCACACTCGACTCAGTTGTACATTGGGATCAAAATTTACTGCTGGGAAGTGACGTCAGTCAAGTACATTGTTGGCCATAACTCCTGGTATACAGAAAGGTCATTATCCCGTGTTTTGTGTGTGCACTGTCCTACGGCCTATGAGCACTGTCGCATGGCCTTGGTGTCTCATTGTTATATAATTTCACTACATGACCATTAATAAGATAATTTCAGCAGCTATTACTGAGTTTGAATCATAACTACTATAACAACTCTCCACAGCCTCATATACACCACGAGACGCTCTTTTGTGAAATGTTCAGTAATGATGCAAGTTTTATCCTGATCCTCTGATCCCAGATGTGATGGGAACAACCAGATGCTCCAGAGGCTGAGCTACATGTCCCACACATTATGACAAACAAGTTTATCTAGCGGGCATCGTCAGAGACTCACACATCCCACTTGGATGCGTTCGTTTTCAGAAAAGGTAAACTCTGCAGCAGTCAACTGGACCAGCGACATCTGGGTAATACTGCACTGAGGACATAAATACCATGAGGTTAAGCCGGTGGTGATGTTCCCAAACACCCAGAGCCGTGTAGGGACAGCTGAGGGGACGAAATATGACTAAAGGATGGTATGGGACAGGTCGGAACTGGCGGAAACAGCGCAGGATAGCGTGGGATTACCGAGACTAGCGTGAGCGGGCGCAGGACCCCAGGCATTGTTACGGGGTCTGTGAGCTGCCTAGCGTGAATGAACGGCATTAAGCCACTCAGAGACAAGTGAATGACGAGGCCGCCTGACTGGTACACGGCCAGGGAGGGTATTGTGGGGGCCAGGGGGTATTGTGGGGGCCAGGGAGGGTAGGCCATTGTGGGGGCCAGGGAGGGTATTGTGGGGGCCAGGGGGAGAGTATTGTGGAGCCAGGGAGGGTATTGTGGGGGCCAGGGTATTGTGGGGGCAGGAGGGGTATGTGGGGGCCAGGGAGAGTATTGTGGAGCCAGGGAGGGTATTGTGGGGGCCAGGGAGGGTATTGTGGAGGCCAGGGAAGTTATTGTGGGATCAGGGAGGGTATTGTGGGATCAGAGAGGGTATTGTGGGATCAGGGAGTGTATTGTGGGTCCAGGGAGAGTATTGTGGAGCCAGGGAGGGTAATATAGCTTCAGGAAGAACATACTGTAGGTCTTTCAGGGAGAATATTGTTGTTTCAGAGAAGGTATCATAGGCTTGGGAAAGGGGGCAGTGTAGGTCCAAGAAGAATATTGTAAATTGAGGGAGAAAATTGTACAGTAGGTTCAGGGAGAGTAACTTGGTTTCAGGGAAGATATTCTTGATTCGTGGTAGGCATTGTTTTGCAGAATTACTTATACATATATTTCTAATGAAGATATGATGTTGTTTCCTCCTTACGATGAACTTGTAAAAGAAAAAAATATAGTCCAGTAATATCAATCACCCTATATCAGTTTATAAATAACCTCAGATCCCGTATATAACTAGGACTTACTTTACTGTATATGCCAATCAGACCCAAACGGATATTATTCAACACATTCAGATGTACACCTCAGATAACTCACAATCCCTCCCCTCCCTCTTTACTAACACCTGCCACACGGGAACACAGAACTCCAGATAAATTGAACTACGAGTGAAATTTTGAACGAAACGAGAGTGTTATCATGTCCTGCACCGTAAGAAAAAAATGGAATCTGATTTTATAGTGAACTACTCAACGAATAGCACATGGGAGCGAGTTCAGGTAAGCAATACTTTTTCTTTCGTCGTGAATGCTCCGCTTGCGATCACGACCGCATTACTGTATTAAAAAAAATGAAGAAGAGAACAGTTGATGAATAACGAGAAACCAGAGTGAGCCGCCAGAGTGAAGGGTGCTTGCTGGCCGCCACTCATTAAGCACTCAATTATGCAGGAACTTAACGAGCATATTTGATGGTACTCAGGAACTCCGCAGAGGCCAACTGTAATAGTGTTTATCCTTGATTTATGTCGTTTAAGCGTTTATTTAATAGTACTGTAATTAACATATGAGGGAGTAATACTTGTGAGGGTTTGTAAAGGGGAGGGAGGTGTAGTGAAGGTAAGGAGGGAAAGACAGGAAGAGAGAGAGTGAGTGAGAGGAGAAGGGAAAGAGGAGCAGTACAAGGTAGAAGGTTAAAGTGTAAGATGTGTGATAAAAGAGATTGTGTGGGGATGGGGGGGGGGGTGGTGACACTTCATGGGGTGTGGGTGGGTGACGTACTAAAGAAGGGAGGTGTGATGTGGGTGGATGACACACATGGAGGGGAGGAAGGTTATATGCGATACAGGAAGGTCACCATCCATCATGTATAGTGTTAACGTGTATACAGACTCTGGCACCAACCTGTAGGTACTCGTTGTGTTGGTCAGTAAAATAAATTCCATGGTTTTAATTGGTGTAGTAATGTATTCGTGGATTTTATACAAGGAATATCTAGTCTATATATCTTTACGTAGGGAAGCTGGGCCATAATACCATCAGGGGAATTGGTATTGAGGAAACACATATACTACTTCAATGTGTTTGTGTTTATGTCTGTCCAACACCTGAGGAAAGAAAGAAATTCTCTCTATATATATATTAGGTCATAACTTTATTACACAATAATGACTAAAAACACAGTACCATTTATGTACAGTAACATGTGAAAAATGTGTAATAAAAGCCCCAACA